TCACCCTAGGCCTACGCGACCAGGCCTTAACTGTTCTGGAAGCTCTCGGTAAGGAAGTAACTTACGAGCAGCTCCTGGAGGCATTGGAGGCAAGATATGGCGATGCTCACCTGGAACACGTCTTTCGTGCGCAGCTCAAAGATCGCGTGCAACGCAGTAACGAAAACCTGCAGCAGTGGGCCCTTGAGGTGGAGAAGCTGGTTCGGAAAGCATACCAGTCTGTACCTGCGCTCATTGTAGGGAACCTGGTGCAGACATTCATCGACGGCATCCGCGACCTTGAAGTCAGAGCTGCTGTGAGGCTCGGGCACCACGAGACGCTTAAGGACGCCTTGACCCATGCACTGGAGGTGGAAGCCGTGCGGCAGGATCATCGTTCCCACCGCGTCAGGGAGGTTGCAGCAGCTACAGTTCAGGACCGCAATAAGGGCTACAGCCCTAGGTGCTACGGCTGTGGGGAAAGGGGCCATCTTCGATCCAGCTGCCCTAAACGAACTGTAGAAAGGGAAGGTGATCGATATCGAGAGGGTAGTGTGGCTGACAGCACCGCCCAGCAACAGCAGGGAAACTGGCGGGTGCTGGCTGATGTTAAAAGAGCCCCAAGGATTTCGATCTCACAAACCCATGATGGGAACAGCCTAATCATCAAGGGCGAAGTCAACGGAACGCCGTGTAAACTGACCATAGACACTGGAGCCTCTCGCACGGTTGTCAGTTCCCAACTTATAAGTCGGTTCCTTGGGGACTCCGCATACAACCGAGAACGCATTAATTTGGTGACAGCCACCGGTCAGCGCATACCCGTCCGTGGAGAGAAGGAGATGGAGTTGAAGCTAGGCAACATGATCTACCTGCATAATGTCACCGTGGCTGATATAATGGACGACTGCATCCTGGGCCTAGACTTTATGAGGAAGAATTGTTGTGAGATCGACGTTAAGCAAGGTGTTTTGAAATGTGGACAAGAGGAACTTTTCGTGGGAGGGGCGTTACCAGGGAATGTGTACAGCCTTAAGAAGATTGTTCTTCCGCCGAGATCGGAAACGATTGTGCCGGTTAGACTTCCACGGAATCCTGGGCAAACTCTTCGTTGTGTACTCGTGGAAAGGGTAGACAATGACCTTCCATGGAAAGTGGCTCGAACCTTGGTCAGAACCGCCGACATCTCATAAGTACGTGTGCTGAACCTTTGTGATCAGGAACAGATTATAGAAAAAGGCACATTGGTTGGTACTAGTGAGGAAGTGGATTGGTTGCGTCGGTGCGAATATCTATCGACTGGGACCCCCAGCAAGGATGGACAAACTAGAGTGACCACACTTTTAGAAGACTGTCGCAGCGTTCTCTCCCCGAATGAAACGGTCAAAGCGAAGAAGTTGTTACTCAAGTACGCCAATGTTTTCTCGTCAAACGAAGCTGACATAGGAAAGACTAGCTTAGTTCAACACAAAATAAACACAGGACAAGAATTGCCTATTCGTCAGCGGCCAAGAAGATTGCCTGTAGCACGTGAAAAGGAAGTGGAAACCATGATTGAGGGAATGGTGAAGGATGATGTTATTGAACCTTCATCTAGTCCATGGTGTTCACCTGTGGTGCTGGTAAAGAAGAAGGACGGCAGCATGCGGTTTTGTGTTGACTACCGCCGCCTGAACGACGTTACAAAGAAGGACAGCTATCCCTTGCCAAGAATTGATGACACGCTGGACATGCTTACAGGCGTAAAGTGGTTTAGTACGCTGGATCTGAAAAGTGGCTACTGGCAGGTTGAAATTGACCCTAAGGACAAGAAGAAAACTGCATTCTCCACAGGAAAGGGCCTGTGGCAATTTAAAGTCATGCCGTTTGGATTGTGCAATGCTCCAGCAACGTTTGAAAGGTTGATGGAGCTTGTACTTACCGGGCTAATTGGAGATGCCTGTCTCGTCTATTTGGATGACATCATCATCGTAGGCCGTATATTTGAGGAACACCTTCAAAACCTGGAACGCGTGCTCATGAAGATACAGAGTGCCAACCTCAAGTTGAGTCCAAAGAAGTGCTCACTATTCAAACGGCAAGTTAGTTTTTTGGGGTATGTAGTGTCGGAAGAAGGTATCCGCACGGATCCAGAGAAAATTGCTGCTGTCAAGGAGTGGCCGGTCCCAAAAGACAAGACACAGGTTAGAGCATTTTTGGGTTTGTGCTCTTATTATCGGCGATTTGTGAAGAACTTTCCAGATATAGCCAAACCTCTGCACAAGCTAACCGAGGAGAAGCGACAATTCTGCTGGGATGAAAGTTGCGATATTGCATTCCAGGAGCTCAAGAACCGTCTGTGCAAAACACCTATTTTGGGGTACCCTGATGTGGGCAAGGAATTCATAGTTGACACAGACGCAAGTGATATAGGACTTGGCGGTGTGTTGTCTCAACAGAATGGTGATCAAGAGATTGTGATAGCGTACTTCAGCAAATCGTTGTCAAAGCCGGAAAGGAACTATTGTGTCACAAGACGGGAATTGCTTGCTGTGGTAAAGTCCTTGCAGCATTTTAGCAAATATCTTCTAGGGCGGAAATTCCACTTACGAACTGACCATGCTGCACTGAAATGGCTATTGCAGTTCAAAAATCCGGAAGGACAAGTTGCGAGATGGATTGAACTACTGCAGGAATACGACTTTGTGATCGAACATCGCAGCGGGAAATCTCATGGCAATGCAGATGCATTGTCAAGAAGACCTTGCCCTGAAGATTGCAAGCATTGTACTAGGCAAGAGGGTAAGGAAGTGGTATCTGTGAGAATGCTCAGGACAGACCAGCTCAGCAATGAGTGGAAGGACAGCCTACAACATGCACAGCAGGAAGATTCGGACATTAAGCCGATTCTGGAATGGATGAAGGCCAGTGCTCCTAAGCCCAAGTGGAGCGACGTCTCAGCAATGAGTTCGACCACGAAAAGCTATTGGGCCCAATGGGACAGCTTGCTGATTCAGGATGGAGTCCTGTGCCGTAAATGGGAAAATGGTCGAGGAGACAGGTGTCATTTGCAAATGGTTGTCCCTAAGGCTAAAGTGCCGGATATTCTACAGCTGTACCATAGTAGTTGTTCAGGAGGCCACCTGGGAGTTAAACGAACTCTCCTGAAGATCCGAGAACGGTTTTACTGGGTCCACTGTCGTGACGATGTCGAGGACTGGTGCCGCAAATGTACAAGTTGTGCGGCTGTAAAGGGACCTCAAATTCGTAGTAGAGGCGCATTGAAATTGTACAATGTTGGTGCACCATGGGAGAGGATAGCCATTGACGTTGCGGGGCCGTTTCCAGAAACTGAAAGTGGTAACAAGTATTTCATGGTTGTGATGGATTACTTCACTAAGTGGCCAGAAGTCTTCGCCATTCCAAATCAAGAAGCTTCAACCGTTGCAGATAAACTAGTTCATGAAGTCTTCTGTCGTTTTGGAGTACCTTTAGAGATTCACAGCGATCAAGGAAGGAATTTTGAGTCTCAAATATTCCAGGAAACTTGCCGAGTTATGGGTACTCAGAAAACACGGACAACTTCTTACCACCCACAATCTGATGGAATGGTAGAAAGATTTAATCAGACATTGGAGAGGTACCTAGCAAAAGTTGTGGAAAAACGGCAACGAGACTGGGACAGGCACATACAACCGTTTTTGTTGTCATATCGAAGCGCTGTTCACGAAAGTACATCAGTGACACCAGCTTTCGTAAACTTTGGGAGAGAATTGCGGCTGCCTGCAGACCTGATCACCGGAATACCACCTGATGCCCCACGCAGTATAACCGATTATGCAAATGACTTGCGGAACAAAATGAATGACATTTATGAGCACGTCAGACAGACGGGCCAGCAAACGTCTGAGAAGATGAAAACACGGTATGACCGCAAAATGAACAACAAGGGGTTTGATGAAGGTTCACTAGTGTGGTTACACAATCCAGTTCGCAGCACAGGGAAATCTCCTAAGCTTCAAGCTAAATGGGACGGACCGTACCGGATTGTGACAAGGATCAATGACGTAACCTACCGGATACAGAAAGGTGTCAGAGGTACTCCTAAGATTGTCCATGTGGATCGACTGGCGCGTTATTATGGGGCCAATAATGCTCGGGACGAGCATGTCTTAGGAGGGGGCAGTGTTACGCGCCACTATTAATGTCTTGTACATGGCAACACTAGTTACACTAGCGCCCTCTAGTGTCGAGTAAAAGAAAGTATTGCGCGCCACTATTAATGTCTTGTACATGGCAACACTAGTTACACTAGCGCCCTCTAGTGTCGAGTAGCAGAACTAGGAGAGTCGAGAACCTTCCAGAAATTTCGGGACCGATATGTACTCGAACATTCTAGATGTCGCTACAGTAGAAGGTTCTGGAAACTGTCTGAGGCCCTATATAAGGCCGGTATGGACCACGATCAGGGCAGTATTGAATTGGCGATACAAGAGATTACTTCGAAGCGAAATAACGGCGAACTGTGTTTTATTATTAGTGTAATTTTAGATTGTAATTAGTGTTGTGTAATTAAAGTGTCAATTTTGGTAATTCAATCGGCAGTTTTTAATTGTCTCGAATCCCAAGCTCGTAACAATAATATATAATGTTTTATTTTCAGTTTCCCAACACGGAGCAAGATTGGAAAATATTGCTGAAAAGTTTGAGAAGAGATGGAACATTCCACATTGCTTAGGAGCAATAAATGGAAAGCATGTTTCAATTGCTTTACCCCCTGGATGTGGATCAGAATTTTATAATTATAAAAACCGACATAGCACACTTTAATGGCTATTGTGGATGCTCAATACAAGTTCATTTTGTGTGATTTTGGCACAAATGGAAGAATTTCAGATGGTGGAGTATTACGAAACACTGTATTTTTCTAAAAACTTCAAGACAGTAAATTAAACATCCCAGCCGCCGAACTAGTCAAAAATGGCAACAGAAGTTTACTTTACGTATTTGTTGCTGATGATGCGTTTCCATTGAGAACAGACATGATTAAACCATTTAGACAAGCAGATCTTAATACTTATGAGAAAAAAATATACAATTATCGAGTATCAAGAGCAAGGAGAATTGTTGAGAACGCTTTTGGGATTTTAGCGTCTCCGTTCCGAATATTTCACACAGAAATAAACATTGAACCAAAAAATATTGATTCCGTTGTAATGGCATGTTGTGCTCTACACAATTACTTAACTGAAACAAACCAAGCTAGTTACAGTCCTCCTGAAATTCTTGATAGGGAATTTTTTGATAACGGAACAATTATACAGGGAGTGACTTCGGCAGATTCGGAAATGATAGATTTAGATAGAAGATATCAAGGAAATATAACAAATGCAGCCAAGAAAACAAGGGAAGATTTTATGAACTATTTCGTGAATGGAGGACAAGTTCCACGGCAGGATAATTTTATTCGTTAATGTTTTTATAATAGTCTAATATCAATAAACTAAATAATAAAATAAACAATAATAGTATTTATTTACTCACGTCATTCGTTTCTTCGTCATCCTTGGAAATATTTGATGTTGAGGATCGTGGTACTTCTTGGTCGGTGAGAAATTGTAGCAAATCGTAGTACCATAACTTTGGTATATAAATATCATCCTTACCAGATCCTGATCTTTGTGACGATTTGACTTTCAAAACTTCTTTTTTGAACGTGCAACGGAGTGTGTTAATTTTACTTTTCATTGTATCTATAGTTGCCGTAGAGTCAATTTCTTTAATTTTTTTCTAATAATACCTTGTAAGCTGCTGATTTCCTTTCTCGGTCATGGTACTCCTTACTTTTATTCTGCCATAAGCAAGGTTCATTTCTATATAATTCTATAAACTCGGCCAACCACAGTCTTTGCGTCATTTTTCTGCATATGCGAAGAGAACAAACATGTACAGACAAGTTTTATTTTTCGTGATCACAACACGACTGAAGAAACACCGCCTACACACGTACAGTTTTAACTGATCAGTTCCGTCATTTCAGTTAAAAAATATGTATCAACAATATATCATCAGTTTTAACTGATAATAAAAAAACTAACAGTTTTCATCGTACACACACTCAGTTTTCACTGTTAAAACTGACAGTTAAAAGTGATCGTGTGTAGCCCCTATAAGATTTCACACTCACGATCAGTTTTTGGATATACGTCAGTTAAACTGATTAGTTTAACTGCCCGTGTATGGGGACCATTAGGGTATTTTTAAGCAAACTATATAAATACCCTAAGCATATAATATTTTGATCCATTTCCCAATTATAATAAAATACTTATATCGTCTTGCATTTTTATAATTTAATAAGTACATTTAGAATATTTGAAGCAGTTTTAATAAATTTAATGGATTTTTGGGGACGATATTATGCCTTAATGTTCGAAATGAATGTATTTTAACTTTATGCGTAATAATGCACTTTAATTGTTCAAAATATTACTTCTATAGACGGCTGCGTGACGCAGCGGCTTAGCAATGACTTGCAGGGTTTAAATATTTATGGTTAATTCTGCTCAGGTTAAATGTAGTTCGGTGGTAGGAGTGATAGGTAGGATAATGTATGAAACTAGTAAATGTGGTTTTGAAGAATGAAGTTTAAAAAAATATTTGACAGATATAATATATTGAGACAAGACCATTGCAATAAAATGTGACATAGGTCGGTCATCTGCCGCGTAGTGATCAGGATTCTACTATTCAACTAAGATACCACTCAACTTTTCTTGTTTCGACATCCAACGACAAAAGCTTTCGCTCTTCTGCGGAAATCACTCAAGGCAGATTGTGTCAAGCTATTGTCACCACGGAAACGATTCAGGAAGGTAAAAAAGTTAAGATAAAGGGGAGTGTGGCCAAGACTTGGAGTCAGATCCAGAAGGTACGAATCCAAAAAAGAACCGAGGACGAAGATTTTTTTATGGGATAGGGTGAAAAACGAGCACACATTCCACCTGCTGGTAAGTGGATGCTGTGGCCCATAGACATTTATATCTAACCCCGTTTGCTAATCAAAATGCAGATGCGTTGTCAGCCGTAAGGACTAAGATGAAATGCCTCTTTTCCAGTAAAGGTCTCCGGTTCTCTACACTCACCATAAGAAACACAGCAGTGTTAAGCTGTTATTTTACGCTGGTATTCTGTGAGAGCGTGGTCCTTCCCCGGTCGAGCCGACCTATTTGTCCTCTCCGCATCTCAGATAATTATATATTCTTAAAATTGCGATTTTTCCGTACCTATAAGAAAGGGGATTACGAGAAACGAGCCTACTTCTTTTTAAAAAGCCCTGGTGTTGCATTTATTTATGAACGGCGGTCGACACTGCAATTCGAGGTCGAGCCGCATGCTCTTTTACTCCCTCTTCTATAAAAAAATTCCCAGTGCAACTTTTTTACCTCTTCTTCTAGCTCAGTCAGTCCTTAGGGTGCATGCATTAAATATTACAAGGTTGAGTCGTAGAAGGTGGCAACCGAAGCTACACCGGAGCAAGGGCGGATCCAGCTTTGGCGCCAGAAGGGAGTCACTAGTCTTGGTCAAGTCAAGAACTTATAATTTAATTTTGATAACAATAGATACAAGTAAAAAGTAGGTATTTTATTAATGTACGTAAGTACTGTACTTAAAAATATTTATTCTTTATTGTACACTTGACAAACTTAACACACAATAACTTGTACATATACACGTACATATTGCCATCTTCTCTTGAAGACATCCAGAGAAGCACTATCACACACGGAATGAGGCAGCCTATTTATATTCCATAATCATGGTGAATGATTTGTCATAACAGCTAGAGGTATGTCGAGGGGTATGACGCAAAACTCCGCAAAAGTGAAGAGGTGGTACGACAAGGGTTTCCAACAAACAAAATAGAAACAGACAAAATACATATATAAAAGCTTTTAAAAAAATTACTTCGCAAACATCCGCGCTTTAAAATAAAATGATGTATCTTACCTAGTATGAAGAGCTCCTCACTTAACAGACAGCCACCGTAGAGTCTACATCACCTGAGGATGCCTCGTGTAGAGGCGAAACACGTGTCGTATTGTCGTCAGTGGTGTGTCTTGCGTAGTGTAGTGGTGTTGGGAGTAGCGGTGCTGGGATTAGTGATGACGGGGATAGTGCACGCAATTGAGGGAAGGCGGGAGGTGCTCTTCATACTAGGTAAGACACATCATATTATTTTATAGCGCGGATGTTTGCGAAGTAAATTTTTTAAAAGCTTTTATATAATGGATTTCCGCAAAGTAACGCCTGATTCTATTAATTATAAAATACATATATTTAAATAACAAAATCAATTTTTCTTTTACGTCTTCTCCCGAAACGCGTTATTACGTCATTTACGTCAATGGCTACGTTTTTATGAACGTGGAGAAGTGCCAGTCCGGTTAGGCGATCTTCAACCATTGAAGTTCTTAGCAACGATTTAATTCTGCGCAACGTAGAGAAAGACCTTTCTGCTGTCGCTACACTGACAGGTACTGTAGCCATAATACATAAAAATTTTCTTGTATTAGGATACATATCGATGTCACAATTTAAAATACGATCAGAAATCGACTGCGGTATGTCCTGGCTCCGCTGGCACGCCTGCCACTTCACCATCCACAGCCGATATTCATTTACAATGACAGAAACTGGAGTGTTATCTAGTAACAATGTATAGTCGGTAGCTAGTTGTTTCACAGTTTCAATGTCTTCATTACTATATTCGCTTTTTGGCATGAAAACGCTTAGCTGAAACAAATTAAGTACATCAGGAGACAGGCGGTCCTTGAGATCACTTATTATTGAATCTAGAAGAGGGATGTATATAGCTCTGCGGAAATACTCTTCAGCAGATTGAGCAGGTTGGTTAAGATTGATAAGTAGGTATCTACATATCTATCTATGAGGTAAGGTACGTTGGGGTAATACCGGACGGATTTTCGAATAGTTGGAAGAGTCTGCCAAAAACTTTAATTTCTCGACATTCGTATACGTCAGATTTATGGAACCTGAAGCAAACCGTTAATCGTTAAACGTAGTTTAGCTCTGAGAATCTTTTGCTTGTGTAAACTCAACGGTTTCTGCTTTAAAGGTGTGCGAAAACTAGACATACTTTTTTATATGCATAATGAAAAATTGGCCATTAAGGGGTAAGACCGGACTTAAATTTAAAACCACTTCTACTGCTTAGAGAAAAAAGTTTATAAAAGAGATTTGTCCTATATTTAACGCTCAAAAACATATTTCAATATGATCTATAAATTACTAGAAACATAAATGTAAACGTAGTGATTATATTCTCTTTGCATAAATGTTCCAAACGATTTTCTCTTTTTTTGTTTTTTGCCATCCGATCTTATCCCTGATATAAAGAAATTGTAATTTTATGTTTCTCAAACTTTGTTATGACATAAGATGGAATTACTCAATATAAGAGAAAGATCGAATGCATTTGATTTTATATGGGAAAAAAAATAACAGTAAGGACTGGCGAAATGCCCTGGGATAATGCAGGAGTTAAGGAAGATATAAATATTTTAACAAAGCGGTATTTATTATTATAAATTATTTTTTAAATAATTATTATAAATTACATTTTGATTTGTAATAGAGGATAGATATAGATGTCTATGGGCCGCAGTAATCACTTAACATCAGGTGGACTGTGTGCTCCTTTGTCACCCTTATCCTATAAAAAAAATGTATTTTAATGTGTACTTAAAAGTAATAAAACCATCGTATTGTTTTATTACTTTTAAATATACAGACTTGCTAACGAGACTGAGTCCCATAGTCACTTGAGTAATCAACGAAAAAATATACACGACCAATGAAAGTTTAACAACCACTGCCATATTTGTAACAGGCAAAGATCGGATAATATTCATCCGATCTTCACTCACGAGGGGAAACATCGGATCTCGGCCTACAGCGATCTTACCCCTGCATGGACCAGCTTTATTTAGCTATAACTTCATAAAAATTAGTATGCACACAAAATAATAACAAAAGAAGCCATATTCTCGCTAAAAATCGTAAATAAAAGTGATAGGGAAAGATCGGATGGACAAAAATAATACAAAAATTACATTGTTTTATAAAATGCCACGCAGCACAGGTCCCACTTGCCGGAGTGACTGGCGCGAACTGAGGGTCGGGGCAGGATGAAATGGCGTCGTGTAGCATATTGTTAGCTTTTCAAAATATAGCATAATTCGCCGGGAATTTGAATCCTACGGTCTTGCCCCATCACCGATCTTACCCCAACGTACCTTACTTTAAGTTAAAACACACGCACTGGAATAATGAGAAACTGATTACTTACCATTTCTTGTAATTAATGAATTTGCAGCAACAATTTTTAAGAATACTTATAAAGGTACACTTATAAACACATTATAGGTAGAAAGAAATTTTAGTTTTTTAATTTAGAACTATATTATGATAATATGTTGAAATTTAGTTGTTCCGATTCCGATTGAGGTTAGGTCTAGCTAGACGTTACGTAGTCGACAGGCGCGCGCAAGTGTGGCGCGGTAAAATTTAAATTTTCGATGCGTTCGTTTCCAAACGTTTGCGATCATACAAAGTTATTATATTATATTAATTAAATATTGAAGGTATGTAGTTACATAAAATCTGTATGGTGACAAAATATATAAATAAAATCATTATGTTCAATTATTGGTCCACCTAAGTCCTGGAACCAGCTCGGGGGGGTCATGACCCCCCTGGATCCGCCGTTGCACCGGAGATTCTTAGCACCTTCTGCTCTGTCGTAACCATTGTCGCCACCGTAACCAAGAATAGCGGGGCCGCCGGGGTTCATGGTTTGCCTTAGTTACTACGCTCGGCAGGTATGTTGACCCCAGCAGTTTAATTTTTGATGTTTTTAAGAAAGATGCTGCTGTGCATCTCCTGGTTTGTTTCCCTTTGACTTCTCTTATGACACCCACAGGGTGTTGTGTAGTAGTTGTAATTCTTATGATACCACTACATGGTTACCTAAGTTATTTATTATCATCAGGGTATGTAAAATTAATTCCTATAAGTATAAAAATGAAAACTCAAAGAGAAATTTAAATTAAAAAAATTATATTAATCACACTTACATAAGTGAACATAACTGCTTCTAATGATTTCCTATATTTATGCGAATACTACACATTGAATAAAACTATTTTTACAGATTTTGTAGCATTTAATTCACTTATTTTGTTTACAGCACCCATGGTCATATGGTGTTTGATGTCTCGATGTCAAAGTTAACCCAGCTACCTTCAGTTCTTGAATATTAATTTTTGGTCCGATCTACGCAGAATTAGCTCACAGGTTCTTGTAGTCTTGCAATGGTATGCTTGGGTTTGGATGTAATATTGTTAATTATGGAATTTCAAGCAGATGGCAGTACCCTCCCATCTTCTCTATTCAAATTAGGATGCTTTTTTAATTTCAATAGCTAAATAGGGGAACCTTTTTGGGAGGGTTCTTTGTAGTCTACAAATTTGATGTAATGGTGGAGACAATCTTGAGCATGTTCACAGACTTCCTGGAGTGTTGGTGCTTCACGTCAGCTATATGTTCTTTCAGGCAGGTTTTTATGGACCTTTTTGTTTGTCCTATGTAAGAGAGACCACATTCACAATCACGCTTGTACAATCCTGCATCTTGAAGAGGGATATTACACTTGACATGTCATTTCTAGTTTCATTTGATGTGTAGTGTTCAAGTATAAGAAATCATTATGGATGAAAATTATCAATGCAGCTGTTGTACTTGCTACCTAGGCCAGCACCAATGAAGCTATTAACCACATGCTAAGTGTGAAAAAACTAGTCTTAGCGTTTGTCTTTATAAGTTATATTTTCAAAGGCAGTTACACTAAATGAGGTCAAAAAAGGCAAAATTTTGTGTGGCAACAATTTTATGAAATCTTTATAATTACAATTATTCCATCTTTGTGTGTTAACTTGACTCCTCCTAAGCAGATAGACCAATTTTGATGAGATTTTGTGTGTTTAAGTTGTTTCAAAAATGGTTTAGATTCACATTGAACCCGGTAAAACTAGAAACCATGCTAGTCTAATATAGCACTATCCAATCAAAATTGGTTGGTTTTATTATTTATAAATATGTTTAAATAATACTCTGAAGCTTAAGTTTTGGTTACTTTTATATAACAATCCAGAGTTCAGGGGCATTTTTAATAATTTTCTCCATATTTTTCATTTAGTTCATAAAATAAACACTGCCATTGAATAAAATTATTAACTAAGAGTTATGCAAAGTAAGATTTTTGTAAAATTTTTGTGTATTTTCTTTACACACAAGTTCTTAAATTTGTTTAAATTAATAATGTTAACACGAATACATTTTATGAAAGGAAACTTATTTAAGAATTGTCACAATATTATATTAATAAAACATTATACAGTTCAATATTGGCCTATGACACTTGGCTTCAAAGTCATGTAGTAATTCATCTATGTCATTATCTAAGTCATCACTTTGTGCCATTTTTGTAACCATATCACTTATTAAAAAGGCACCTATTGTTGCTTCTTCGTGGTTGTCTTGTATGTCTATATTGATGACATGAACTGGTTGATTATATACTGATCTTTTTGAACCAAACCATTCAATCACTTGGTCATATACTCTTTCCTCACATGTTATAATTACGTCAAACCTTTCCGTAGAAATCTGGAATTTTTCAGGATATGGTTTAATCCTTCGGTTTCTATCCAACATATGGAGTAATCCATTTTGAGTATAATATGTTTTGTCTTTTTCTAATAAATCATTATAGATATCGTCATATGGTACGCCAAACTCATAGCAATTAGGTCGGTCTGCTGATGCGCCTGGTAACTTAACCTTTTCACCAGTTCCAAAGGACTTTACTTTAAAACCTTTTTTGACAAGAAATGCGTGAGCTTCCATACTTCGATTCATATTTGATGAACAAACTACAGCTATGTACAAATCGGCCATTGTCGTATAGAAAACGAAAATGGGATTTGCGTCTCAAATAAAATAGTTTTGTGGTTTGTTAATGGGTAGACAAAAAAAATTATATTGCTTTTAATTAATGAAAATACGTTCATTGTATAAAATATAATAGAAGATCATTTTATTCGAACAATCTACAAAGCAAACACTCATTAGATGTGGCGTTTGTTTGACATTTATTTGACACTTGTTTAGTTTAGCTTAGTAAAATTTTTTATTTATTAAAATTTCCGCTTGGATGTTTGTTTTTTAAGTCTTCATTCTTCTTCATTCAGTCTTCATTTCATTCGGAATCTTCGTTATAATAGATTTTTTGTTTAAAAACTTTTTCACAATTTGTTGATACGTCACATTGCAAAGTGAACAAAATTAATTTGGCGGGATTGAACCAGACTATGGATTGTGTGAGGCGAAATTACTTTTATGCATTACTGCAAATGTATCCAAATTCGGGCTATAGGAAGGATGTGAAGGACTGCATGTGCACTCAGCTGGACTTCCGCTGATCTGTCACGTGTCTCCATGTGCTGCGTTTCACGTTGGTTGGACGCCGGCTATTTTCACACATATAACTTTAACAGATTATTACGAAATATAGCATTATTGCAAATATCAATCTATACACTTAGTTATCTTCTTCTATAGTTAAATATTGTTAAGAGCTTGGGGTTCGAGACAATTAAAAACTGCCGATTGAATTACCAAAATTGACACTTTAATTACAAAACACTAATTACAACTTAAAACCACACAAATAATAAAACACAATTGTACTACTGATCACTTTAGTTCGCAGTTATTTCGCCTCAAAGTATTCGCTTATATCGCCAATTCAATACTAACCCGGTCGTGGTCTATACCGGCTTTATATAGGGCCTCAGATAGTTTCCAGAACCTTCTACTGTAGAAACATCTAGAATGTTCGAGTACATATCGGTCCCGAAATTTTTAGAAGGATCTTGACTCCAAGTTCTGCTACTCGATACTAAAGGGCGCTAGTGGTAACTAGTGTTGCCATGTACAAGACATTAATAGTGGCGCGCAACAATATCTAAACCACACAAAGGTGGAGCGATCACACGAGATATATGTGGTGCGGTTAGTTTCGTAACTTGCAAGCTTGTAAGAACTAGAGATGAAGCGTATATATTAGAACAGATCTAGGCACTAGGTATTAAGCGAGAATAGGTTGCACCTATTCCAACTTTTAAAATACTTGATCCACCTAGTCTCACTGTGCCTACTCGTCGCACGCCACCAGCGCGGCAAAGAAAGATAGCATTTTTTGCCGTAGTTACTAGTCAGTTTTGCAGCTCACTTGTGTTCGCCTAAATCATTCGTTTAGAAGTTTAGAAGGACTAAATGAAGTGACTGCCGAAAAATGGAGTAGCTGCGTGGCTCACATAATAAAAGAAGAAGACAAAATGTTTAATCCCGACCACATGACAAGTTTATAATAAATGTTACTGACAGTGACAGTGACAATGATGACATTATATGTGATGACGATGAATAAAAAAGTGTAATACTTAAAATTAGTTTTTTTTTTATGAAATCCCTATGACAACATACATTATGGATAATTTTCGTCTGATGAACTGACAACATGGATGTACCTTAACCCTTTCACCGCCGCGCTTTAGTTGATGTGGAGTGTCTCCAGCGCCAGGAACTTTTATTTAATATTTTACATAGTGTTGGAACAACCATTTATCGATAAATGAAACAAAGTTTTAAAAATTATAGATTATTATTTATTTTAATCAACATAACATTCTTCTTATTGGGTCTTAATTTTCATTTATCACATTGCACTTAATCAGCGTTAATTCTCTTCATAAAACTAATCAATATTCAGGAGATGGGCATGGACCTTGATCTAATATATGTAGCTCCTTCCGAGCGTTATATATCAAATTTATTATGTCCATATACACTTGCGATCGAATCTCGTATGGGACTGACTCTATTTCAAATGCAATTAATGTACCAAAATGCTCATTTCGAGGATCTTCTAGACTTTGATTAAAGAATCTTGAAACGAGCATACTTATAAAAGCTGTGTAGTCATCTTTTTCCGATTTCACATAGCATATGTAATGATTTTTGGTCTGCGTTGATCTACCACTTTTGGAAATTTTTCTTTTTATTTTCTTTTTCGGTCGAATAGATGGGAGAATAGATAGCGATAACGGCGGCGATTCATCACTTTTTGACATGATGATTCTACTCCATATACTAGAACATTCTTTATGTTCCTGTAAAAATGTATAAATTAAGCAAATATAAATGTAGTGTAAGTTTCTCAAATACCTGACTATTTATTTTACATGAATATTTACTTCATCATTACAGCCCTTCACAAGTCCACTGCTGAACATAGGCCTCCCCCAAAGAATGCCACAAAACACGGTCCTGAGCCACCTGCATCCATCGACTTCCTGCATGTCTTACCAGGTCGTCACTCCATCTCGTGGGGGGACGCCCTACACTTCGCCTACCGGTACGAGGCTGCCACTCGAGAACCTTTCTTCCCCATCGGTTGTCGGTTCTTCGAGCTATATGGCCGGCCCACTGCCACTTCAGCTTACTAATCCGTTGGGCTATGTCGGTAACTCTGGTTCTACTGCGGATATCCTCATTCCTAAGTTTATCACGCAGAGAAACTCCGAGCATAGCCCTCTCCATAGCTCGCTGAGCGACCTTGAGCTTCCTCATACGGCCAGCAGTGAAGGACCACGTCTCAGTTCCGTAAGTCATCACTGGCAACACGCACTGGTTGTACAATTTCGTTTTAAGGTTTTGAGGTATGTCTGACGAGAAGATGTGTCGTAGCTTCCCGAACGCTGCCCAGCCGAGTTGAATCCGTCGATTGACCTCTCGGTCGAAGTTGGACTTACCCAGTCGGACTATTTGTCCCAGGTAAACATACTCGTCAACAACTTCGAGCTTAGTGTTCCCAACAACTACCGGCATAGGTGTGACATGGACATTAAACATGATCTTAGTTTT